CTTTTGCATTAGGCATCTTTTTGCATCAGTTGCATCAGTACAGCTGTTTGTGGGGTTGCATGACAAATCAGAATGGTTAAAAAACAATCTGCCAAAGAAGCAGGGATAGAAATGAGAGGGGAGAGGGAGTCTTTCTTTAGAGAATAAATTACCACACTGGGAGCTGGCTGGTTCCTGCATGATTCCAGCTGGTGGAGAAAGCAAAAGTGGTTTTAAAATCACATTGCCACTTTCGTCCTGTTGTCCCAGTTCTGCCTCAAGAAGGAGGAAGAAGTGACTGTGAAAGTTGCTATTGCTTTTCCACTCCTTGCTTCCAGGTTTTCTGCTGAATCGTATTGCAGCCCCAGAACTTGTACATTTTGCCACGAGTGCCAATAAGGAGTAGATATGCCCAAGTGAGGTAAAAATGAAGTTGATGGGTGAGGTATAGATATTCAGGAAAAAGAGCAGATGGGGTGGCATTAAAAGCTTGCCTGAGAAGTCCTCATCACTTTCCTGGCTAAACTCTTGGTGGTGTCTCTTTGCTGACCTTTTTTTCCCAACCTCTACTTTCAGCTGTGCTTGGGCATCCATATTGGTTTTAATGGGATCATTCCACTCCAGCACAAGCATCCGGTTCTGTAGAATAAAATTTATTTTCCTGTTTTAAGTTCTCATTAATAGACTTGCTGGTTTTGCAGCCATGATGTCTTGGTGTCTGATTTTGTCAAATTCATGAACTAATGAGGATCTAACCCAGTTGGTTTGAGATGCTGAAGGAAATCAGTGACTTTGGATAAACAGGTGACTTTTGACTCAGCCGATACACTGGGCTTCTTTTGATCTGGTGTTCAACCAGTGTTCTCAAAATATTGCTGGACTGCACTGCCAACTGTTTAACTGATATTTATACTGGCGTTCCTTCATTCTTATTGAAACAGCGTTCATCATGAGGTTAAGTTGTTAATATAGGTGTCCTAGCTAGATTCCCACCTGGGCAAATCTGTGCACCCTACCTTTAAGTTTCTCCTGTCTAGTAAACCAAAACCTTACAAAATCTTGTGTAATCTTTTCTTCCTGGACGGTTGCTACATTCCATGCTGTAAGCGGTTGTATTTCAAGACAGATGAAGTTGTTTATGTGAGCGGTGCCTTGGGGTCTTTCAGGATCTTCTCCAATATAAATTGTGTATGTAGAAATCATAGCTCTGTAGGGTTTGGGGGTTTTTTTTGGCAGGGGGCGCAGGGGGTGGGGTGCAGGGAAATGATAGCACACTGGATACCATCTATTCAGTTTCTTGGTGTTTTCGCTTTATAGAGTAATACAGACAGATGCTTATTGTATCATTTTGTTGGTTGAAGTCTACTTTTACAGGATTTGTATTTTCTAGACACTAAGTCTCACTATAGTTCCATGCAGTTCAGTTGTTTAGGAGTTGAAATGCATTTACAGGTGTCTCCAAAGCTAGCTGTACGTTACTGTTTTCGCCGTGGCACCTCCACATTTCTGTGTGCTATTTTATATGTGGCTATGTAATGTGGAGAAAAAAAAAGTGAAAACAAGTACATGTCTGCATGAAAAACGGGCTTGAGGCAGAGCAGCCGGTAAAACTACACAGCCTTCCCTTGCTGTGTGCTAAGCACTCTGGGCACTGCATGGAAATAGTTCCACTGATTAAACAGGAGTAAACTAAAAGGCGCACGTGCATCGAAGTGTTTTTCTGCAGGATCAGCTCAGAAGGGCGAGCCTCTGGCGTGACACATTTAACTGCTTCAGTGTAGGTACGTAGGTTTGACATCCAGCCCTGAATGCCTGCCCACTGCAAACCTTGTTTCAGTCCTCAAGAGCTGTGGGGGATTCACGCAGCTTCAGTGGACTGTGAGCACTGGAAATCCTGTCGCAGCAATCCCAGCGATCCACGGTGCCCGCCTGTTCCTGCGCAGCCCACCGGCTTCCCACCGCTAGCGGGGAGCTGGGCCTGATTCCCAGGAAGCGTCTGCTGGAGCGCCCGGCAGCCCAGCGGGGACTGCTTTGCTGTGGGCTCTGCAGTAATGTGTTCGCGGAGTATAGAGGTTCTCCTGGCGTAGCTCAGCGAGGGTTAATTAATAGCTTGGCTGTCCCACTGTTGGTAAGACGTTAGCTTTTCCTCCATCTGCTGCTCGTTCAGGAGAGCGAACTAGCAGCATCACACGAGAGGATTTAATGTAATCTTGGGAGTGTGTTTTCTGCATAGTCCTGCTTTTGTTTCCTGCGATGCAGCGCTTCAGGAAGCAGAAACTTTGTCTTCACTGTGTTACCTTCGTTAGTAGGGGAAGATTTTGCACGTAACCCTGATATTACAGTGGTTACCACCATCAAACCCTTGTAAATAAGTGCGTTGAGTACAAGACCACGCGTTCCTTCACCCCTCAGACTGTAGTTTGACAAAGGCTCCTTTTGGCCGCAGCACCAGATTCAGCAAAGTGCCCCGGGCCGCCCCTCCCCACCCTCGGGGGACCCCAGCACCCGCACCCACACCCCTGCTTGCGGGCCTTGCCCAACAAAGCCGAGCGAGCAGCTTAAAATTAAACCGGCAGAGGCCCAGGGAGGTGGGACGGCTGAAGCAGGGGCTGCTGGGGCGAGGCGAGGGCTGAGCCCCCTGTGCCGCTCGCCCCTCTGCGTCCCAGGGCCCCCCAACATGCGCGGGGCTCTCCCGGCCTCTGCCCGGCTCCCAGGAGCCCCCCCGGCGCGGGCGGCTCTGTGGTCAGGGTTTGAGCTGCTTGGCGGGCTGGCGTTGGGATGGGCTGAAAACTTCCTGCTGCTTGTCCTGCACGTTGTTTGTTGTGTTCCTAACTCCTCGTCTTTTGGTGTTCATCTTGAAGAAGGATTTTGATGTTTTTGTTTCTGACCAAGAAATAAAATTATAGTTTTGCTCATTAACCTTACCCTTAAGCCCTGCTGATTACACTGAAAGGAACCCAAGCTTTTATAATTTATATTGTCATGCCTAGTACTTAGGTTTTTTTCTGCTGGAACAACAGAGGATATAAAGATTTCAAAGCAAGCGCACAGATAATACACAAAAAAATGACACTGGTTCCTTTTACGTTACTGGGAATTGTGGGGTTTAGTAGTTTTGCCATGTAATTGTGAAATGCAAAAAGCGAAGAGAGGACTACCTACCTGGATGATGATCAGTTGGTGGGAGATCCCAGCTCTGGAAGACTTGCAGTTCATTTTAGTGGGATTCATTCCCTCTTTTTATAACAGGGTAATTTTTAGTATATTTTACTCTTCTGTTTGCATGATCTGCTCCTGCAGCCCTTATTTTCCAACAGTACATCTTTCCAGTGAGCAGATCACAGAACCACCCCTCTTACTTGACGAAAGGTGGAAAGCCCAAAGAGCAGGTTGTAAAACCCGGGGCCTGGCTAGAGCTACACTTCGGGCAGGAGCTGGAAGGGCCACTTTTGTTTGTCTGTGGTGTGTGCGTCACGGACATATAGTCTACGTGTTTTTCTGGGAACTGTTACTTAGGTTGCTTTGAAGATGGGTGTCATTCAAGTAGAAGTGACAGCGGGGATGGCGAGGAATGTGCACGCAGCTACCCTGTGTCTGAGCAGCGTGTTCCTCGCCCTCCCTCCATGCAGTAACCCCACATGGAAACCTGGTGATTTCTCAGTGAGCAGCTGAGGTAGTGACGGGTTCAGTACTAGAGGTAAGTAGAAGCCAAGCAAAAGTGCTTCACTGCGTTTTACACTTTGACTGTCAACAAATACTGCACAGACAAGTCGAGGTACAGCTGAGACTGGTGGCCAGGTGGTGAATTCCAAAACAGCTAAAGTTTGGAATGCCTTCGGGGAGAGAACTTGACTGAGCAAACGAGAGATGGCTGTAATTTCTCAGGCGAAGCATCAGCTGCCAGAGATGAGCTTCTGAGATATTTGGCCATTTATTTTATTGAAATATTTACGTCTGATCTAATAAGAAGTTGACTTAACCACTTTGGTTTCTAACTATATGACACTGGATGACAGCCCTTCGCAATTCTAAAATCTCAAAATCAGTCTCTGTGTTTTTGAGAAGCGGCTTTCTTACTGAAGACTATGGGAGGATATTTTGGCTGAGAACTAACCAGTCACAAGGAGGAGGAAAAAAACCAAACACCCTGTTGCAGGTTTCCTTTCAGTCTTTGTAGCGCAGCTTTATGCTAACCAGAGTAGTACAAATGTTTGATGCTGCTTTCTCAGATCCTACTCTAGCTCATTTTTTTAAATGTCATTTTCTTACCGCATGCCAGCTAGTTACCTTACAACTCCCTCGGTTCGCCAAATGTCATCTGTGTCCTACAGTATAAAGTGTAATTACGTATTTAAAAAGTGGGGAGGTGAGGAAGAGAAAAGAGTAGCTGCTTTGCATTTTACTCGATTGGAGAAGTACTTGAAATTCCTCACATTCTTCTCCTGTTAACAGTATGTTTACTTTTCATCACTGGGTTATTAGGATTAACAAAAGTCATTGCTTCAAGCTCATTTAATTTGAATTTAGTGAAAGCAAACTACATCCTGCAGACTGTAGGAAACATTCTTCTGCCATAGAAATGTATTAATTTTCAAAAAAGCAGCCACCGAAAAATGTGAGACCTGATGACCACTTCCACCGGTAACGCTCAACATCACCGTGCATGCACTGCATTCTAATGAAGTACCTTATGTTGCAAATTCCAGGACGGTTTGAATAATCTGACAGTCTAATTAACATTTCAGTCTCTCTCTCAAACATTTGCTTTCAATGCCAAGCAGCTTTTTCTGTATATACTTTCTAGAGCATGGGGTTGCAGACTGCATACACCACTTCAAAAACATCATTTACCCAAAGAATTAGACTCAGCTTTCTAGTTCATTGCTCTGCATGTAATAGAGCTCGTTTTAATTTTCAGAGAACCTAAGCTTTTCAGAATTCAAAGTTTTCACAGAAAGCTCTTGCAGTTGCTGTATTTAAGTCTGTTGCCTATCAGAATGCTCTACTAGGAGTAGTTAGGTAAATATTTCTTTATTAAATGATTAATTCCATAAATAAATTCTTTTAATTCATTGAATATAAAATTAAAATCATTTACAACTTATTCCAGTATTACAGGGGCTGGAAGGGGGGGGAAAAAAAAAAATCAAAGAAAAACAAAAAAAAGCTACAGTTTGATAAATAAAATACTCAGCTTTAAAACAACTGATTTCTGTTTGCCATTAAACTACAGTTGGTACATAATAGCTGCCACTGTGAACACCCCACAAGTGCCCACCTCAGGAAGGAATGTGACTTCCAACTTGGTTGGGAAAGGGAGGAAGGTGGAGGGAGGGGGAGAAGCATAGTGTTAAATTGAACAGGATAGAGAAGAAGTTTTCATAACCGGAACAAAACATTTATCTGATCACTTACAAACAGAAAACAGTATATAATTAGGTAAGGTGCTCCAAAAAGAAGCAGTAAAGTTGCTCCAGTACTATGAAGCTTTAAGTATGCTTAAATCTCTGTTGCATTACTGTCCAGTTGCACAGTGCACTCTTGTAACATCTCGATGTTGCCCTCAAATGGGCAAGGCACCATTTCCATCAAAGGTCCTTTCTCCACGGCTGGTTACTTCAAAATTCTGTTTAGCACCCCACCCCCAACACAATTTAGTCCCTAAATTTGTGAATGTCATTGACCAGTCTGTAGTAGGGATAAGCTTCATTCGCATGCGGACAGTTGTAGCTGCATCGGCAGGACTGGATCATCATGACGTTCTTGGTGAAGGTTTCCCCATCATCACAGCGGAACCTGATCTTGACAGTCCTGGTCTGCTGGGGCGTACAGCACCTGCCATCCACGCAGGAGCCACAGTACTTGGGGCGGTACTTCTTCACGCTGGAACATCCGGCATAAGTAAACTTCACTGGGGATGGGGACTTCTTAGTCTTGGTACATTTTTTTCCCTTCTGTAAAGGAGAGGCAATAATATTATTAGCAGGAGATTCTTCTCCAGCCTTTTACCCTCTACCTGAAGCAGTCTGGAAAGAAGAGGAGCACCGGAATAGTCTGTATTTACCTTTAGGGAGGCATAGCTAGGCTGGCCGCATGGCCGCACTTCACATATCCTGGTCTCTTTGATGAGCCTGCAGTCGGGATTGTCGTTGGTAACCCTTGTGGAGATGCCAGTTCCACACGTCTTTGAGCACTGGGACCAGGAGGTTGTTTGCACAATGCATTTGGGATTCTCAAAAGCTCGGCTTTGTGGCTCGGATCCAAAAACTGGAAAAGAAAAGGAGGGCTTAGCCTAAATATATCCTCTCACTGGCTTGCTTTCTTTCCTTTGGGGTCCAAGGAGTCATATAGCCATCCTCCCACCTCCTCCCCTTAACTGTCATCACACAGATTAGCCCATACTCACCAGGTAGCATTTTCAGGCCTCCTTTCACGATGGCAATTAGCTCATTGTTCCTGGTTAGTTCGCCTTCGGAATCATCCGGACCAAACTCTTTGCTGAAGAAGCCTTCCAGCTCATCCAGCGCATCCTTGCTCTCATCACAGACCCACTCTTCGCAGCACTGCCCGGGGACTTTGACCAGCCTGGGGCTGGGACAGCCCAGGTTAGGAAGAGAGAGCTCTTGCGGGCAGAGCGGGATGCAGCCCACAGCCCCATCGATGCACGTACACTGGTGTTTGCAGTTCGGCTGGAAGCTTTCACCGTTCTGGTAGATTTTGGAGTTGTATTCACACGGTCTCCCCTCGGACTGCGCTGCAGAGATCAACAGAGAGGGAAAAGGAGGGAGTCAGCGGCGGGAGTCGCTGGTTTAAGCACAGGTATCTGCTGGCCTGTTAAATTCAATTTACGGTGGAGCTCCCTACAATCCCCCGGAGACGCGGGGCCAGAACAATAAGTTAGTCAGGAATCACTTTTCCTTATGTGCGTTTAGCGGAGCCCAGACATACTGAATCGCATTCCAGACCGCTGAAGTCATGTGCCTTTCTGCCAAGCTACCAACAACAAAGCATAACCATACATGGACTCGAAATTACTAAACTTCGGCACTACGGGGGCCAGGGTTTTTCTCCCGGGG